AGAATTAGCTTCAAAAGAACCATAAAAGACAAATTAAGAAGAAAACCACTTTTTCTCTTCATAGTAATTGAAACCATATGTAAATGTTAATTGGTCTGCTTCTAACTATCCGTGCCAACTGTTCATTATTGTTGGACCTCAAATTTTGTTTTTTCCCAGATCTCAGTGTTTTAGATATTTACATCCGATCTTTCTGAAGGTGACACGTTATTAGAGACTCAGGTGAGGCCTGTATCTGTGTAGTAGTTTAGGCCTCTCCTTTCCTTCCTGGTGGTAACTGTTAATCTGGATTTATTATCATTTCCATCATTTATCATTCGCTGAATCAGTATCTATTGAATCCTCTTATGAGTCAGGGTTGTTCTATATGCCGAGTAGACAAGAATGAAGAAAACAGACCACCATTCCCACTCTTGTGGACTCCATGGTCCGGTCAGAGGGCAAAGGCAACATAGAAATGAACCAGCAGATTATTCTAACAAAGGCAGTAATTTAATATGAAGGAGGAAGTTCGGCCCTAAACTTCCATCTTCACTCAGAGCTTGTGGTCAGCCCTGCGGTTGGCTTTACTTATGAACATCTCTGAGTCAGGCCAGGGGTGCTGTGATTAGTGACCAGGGTCTCCTGCTATATCGTGAAACCAGGATCACGCTGAAATCCCTGTGTTTTGGAATAGTCTCTTCTGGGGTGTAGAGACCGATTCTGGAGTCACACGAGGCACTTACCTTGTACAGTGTCCAAACTGGAGTGGATTCCCTTGGCTCGCTGTCAGCTCTGCACATCGGGTATCAGGCTTCTGGCACGAGGCTGCGTGAAGTCATCGCTTCCACCTTCACTTGACCTCAGCCCGAGGCTGGAGGGCTCAGCTGCACCAGTGTTTCACAGACTAGCAGGACGTAGCAGCGCCATGCCAGTCCTGAATTTAACAAACAAGTAAAGGAAGCAAAGGTATGAGAAACAGTGTTTTCATGCCTCTTAGGTGTTTATTAGATTTCCTACTCAATATGATTTTTGAGGAAGCAAAATAGCATCTAATCTAAAATCTGGCACTGCTCAGCATTTTTTTTAAGCCTGTTTTATTATCTAGGTCAATGGCTCTTGTCTATTTTTACATACCAAACTTTGTCACAGGCAAGGTCAAAATTGTACTGTACAAAATAAAAGTAAATATAAGATATGTTTTCATGCTATTTCTGGCCTGACTGGAAGTAGAATATATCAGTATGAAATTTTTGTGTTTTAAACAGGTGTAGATCAAATATAACTGAAATAGTTCATCTAACTGATATGTTAAAAGCTATATGGTTTGATGTCATATAAATGTACAAATACAAGAATAGATTTAGAGCCATTAATCCTGAAATCAACATTAATCAGTAATTCAGATAAGTTTTAAACTAAACAAACAAACAAACAAAAAAGAAAAACTCCAACCAAAGAAACCTAACCTTAATGAATGACTGGTTTTATAGTGTGCCTTTCATTTTGGAGATAATCGCAAGTGAACTAATATTTATCGAGAATCTGTTTTGTGTGTGCAAGCCATTTTGTTGCATGGCAAGAGCTTAGTATTATTCACACATTAAATGCTATCTTCTTACATTGGCATAGGAAAAGACTTTATAAAAAAATCCCCAGTAGCACAGGAACTAGTACAAAGAATCAACAACTAGGATCTCATCTTTTTATAAAGCTTCTGCACTGCAAGAGAAACCACCAACAGAGCTAAGAGACAGTTTACAATGTGGGAAAAATTTTTTACCAGCTGTTCCTCAGACAAAGGTCTACTATCTAGAATATATAAAGAACTCAAAAAAAAAATCAGACCCCCCCAAATATAAAGACCCAATTAAAAAAGGGCATCTGAAATGAACAGACATTTCTCAGACAACGAAGTAACAGTAGCAAATAAACATATAAAAAATGTTCGATATCACTGGTTATTCAAGAGATACAGATGAAAACAACACTGAGATCCCACCTCACCCCAGAAAGAATGGCTGCTATCAAGAATTCAACCAATAACAATAGCTGGCTGGGCTGTGGGTAGAAAGGAACCCTTCTCCATTGTTGGTGGGAGTGCACACCGGTGGGACCACTATGGAAATCCATATGGAGATACCTCAAAGCAGAAACTTTTGTAATGGTAGAGATGTCTTACTGGTCCACACAGTTCAGGAGCTTTTCACTGCAATTATAGACCTTGCCACAAGAAAGGGGAGCAATGAATTTTTGAGAATATAAATGAGGATCTCCTTTCTTCCTTTCAGATGTTTCAGCATTCTGAAGGTTGTCCAGCTCTGGGAGCTCATTTCATTTTATCCATTAGACCTGGACTAAAGAACAAACCTGCAAAATCTGTCAAAATTGATGATGTATGGCTGCTGAGAAATTTAAATTACTTCAAGTATGGGAGCCAACAATGTAATGTCCAACTCTAGGATGAGATCACAGCATCATGTGCTCGCTCGCTTATGTGAGCTGCATTCTATATGCATGGGGGATAGCCAAAGAGTGAGTTCATTGAAGAAATAGTGAAGTGCTTCTGCTTAACACTTTAGCTCCCAAGAGTTCAAATAGAACCAGCATGACCACAGAACCACTTAAGATATGCCTGTGCTCCACACAGCCCTTGTAATGATGGACAGGTGGTGCATGTGCAAATCTGAGATTGCTGATTAGACTGACATTCCCAAGTGCACCGTCTTCTTATCAGCCAGGATGATGGCCGAGGCTCTCTGGGTAGGCAGACTTTGGCTGCCTTTCACGAGTTTAGGAATGTCAGACTTTTGACAAACAAAGCAGGGTCCGCTGGAAGTGTGTTTATTTTTTAAGTAACAAGAAGTTCGCAAAGAAACAGTTTGAAAGCAAACTATGGGAAATATACTTGTAGCTCTTATCTTCAAGGCCTTCCAGTTTCCAAGAGACTAAGAAACATCTCAGAATTCATGGGGGCTAATCATCTTGGACATGCAGTGAAGATTAAAAAGGAAGAGTTATACAGAGTAGGGATTTATGAAGAGGAAGTCCACGTAAGAATGGTGACTGGTGGCATGACTTCAGCCATAATACATCCTCTTCCTTCTTTTGCACATGCCTCCCCTCTTCTGTGTTTATTTTCTCCCCATATCTAAAGTTACAGGACAAAATACAGAATAAGTATTTAAATTTTATATTCAGATAAATAATGTATGCTTCACTCATTGAAAAACACATCCTCTTTACTTGAAATTCACATTCAGCAGGTCATCCTGTGTATTTGTTTGCTGAATCTGCTACCTGTACCAATATCCTATCTAGTCCATCTCACCCAAGTTTAATAGCAGGCATGGACAAGGTTTGTAATTCGTAATAGCATCCAAGGAAAGTATTCCCCAATGAAATAGGTTGGCCTACATGTCTCTGGATATTTATAGGCTCAGTATCACTGATTCAATAATTGTTTTGCCTTCCACCCTTCTGTCCATTGCTTGCATCCCCCAATCCTCTCTATCCTGGTACTGGCTGTTTTTTTTTTCCCTTGGGTTAATGGTTTGTAAATACTGTAGGAAGTGACTAAATGCCACTTCTTCTGAAAAATTACCACTGGAGTACATCTCAGTGGAGGAGACTGCATTTAGCCTTATAGTTTTTGTTGTTCTTTCCTTTTCTTCATCAGAATATTGGGCAGGCATTCCTGCTAAATCACCCTCTTGGCTTAGCTCACTAATTTTTACATATGAATACTTGGGATATTAAGTGAAATCTTGAAATAAAAAATGAAAATATTTCTATGTTTGCTACTTTCACACATTTATGGTGAAAAATGTTTTCAAATATGCATTGCCTTGGACCAACTCAATGAGATAACTGTACGGAAAAGAAAAAAATTAAGCCTTATGTATTGTGTACTCATTGAGTTAAAACTGAAAACTCTTGCACTAAAAAAAATCCATGATTGATTGATGCAAGTCATGGAAATGTGTCAAGTATAACAGCTTTCAAGCACTCTTTTACAAATTGCACATATTTTCTTCTTATGTAAAGATTTGAGTTGGCAATGAATTATATCTGTTTTAGTTTCAGTAAATTATATAAATAACTTCAATGATACAAAATTTCTCACTAACACATGAAGTGTTACAGCACATTTTCAACTTTACCACGTAGATAATATATAGAACGTAGTAAGCACCTAGAATGCAAACTATGAAGCAGATATTGAAACCTAGCAAATACTCAGAAAATGAGAAGCATTCTTTTTAGGTTGGAGTCAATGCCTTCTAACTGATAAAATGAAGCACCATAAATCTGCTAGTGAATCTGCCAAGAAACTTCCTAAATATTTTCAAAGGGAAAGTAGTTACCTTAAAGTGACCTATAAATATTTTTGTCCATTATGATGCTTGAGTTTTAATGTTCAAATACAATTCTAGCCTATTTTAAGTAATTATTTAACTTGATATGAATTTATTCTTCTCTGATTTGTGAGGTTATTTCCAATGTGCCAGCAAGTACTTTTATTTTTATATTTCTTCCACTCAACTGATTTTCCTCAGTATTTATTGCTACACCTTACATATTAGAATCTATTCCACTTGTCTGTTAAAAGAAGAAAGCTAACTTATTCACAACTTCTCTTAGTATTTTTCTTAGAGTAATATGTATGCTACAAATATATTGAGCATATGCCATTTGTTGTCTGTGGTGAATTTTTTCATCTTTAAAAAAACAATTTGAAGTTCTCTTTAAATGTAGATGCACTAAATAAAATTGATAAATGTGACTATTTCAGAACGTTGTGGTATATCTCATATCAGTGCTAGCTAAGGATAGAATATCCAGTACAAGTGAACAATAACTTGAGGTGGACATAAAGGTCAGAGACTTGAGATAAAAGGAGATGATGGTTTTGTCTGGTTCAGAAGAGTTTTATGGTCCCATGGCCTCAAAAATGTAACACAAATGTTTAGTTTTCACTTTTTTGTGTTTGATTATGTTTTTTTTTTTCTTCCTCACAGCTCTTAAAAAATCAGGAAGCTAGAAAAGCAGAAGTGGGCCAGAACAAAACTCAGCAGAGATACAGAAAAAAAACAAAAGCAAAACAACAACAAAAAAAACAGAACAATGCTTCTTCTTGATTAAGTATAGGTGGGCACTTAAGAGTACATTACTAAAAGAATTTCACACACACACACACACACACACACACACACAGAAGCTGTAAGAGTTTATTCTTCCCAAGCCATGACATTGTAGACTGCAAGGCAAACCCTATCCCAAGAGAAAGAGCTTTGCTTCTTAAAAATGATTGTGTGGAAGACCAAAGTTAGATAAACAGTAAGCTATGTCTACTAAAAATTCATTGAAACATTCCCAAATTGTGCTTAGCAGGTTTTATTTCTTCATGTCTTACTCTTGCTGCATATAATCTTGTGTTATAGAGTTGATATAATATCATACCGTTACCTGAGCTTACAGAAGTGCCCAGAAAGAACTACGCAAAAATTAGTTTTACTCTGTGAACTTTGACTTCTCTTTAAGAAACCTCCAGTAGCAGTGGCTGCATAGATGACTCTTGAATCTGTTACTCGCCTCTCAAGCACCTCTTGCCTATTCCCATAGTCCAGTTCTATACTTTTGATTACTTGTCAGCCATCCCTACCCTGAATCTGAAATGCCTGCCATTCAGCTCACATCATTTTCTATCACCTAGCCTGCCTGAAATGTTTTCTTCTCTGCCCTGATACTACTGTTTCTCACCAGGATGATTCTCCAGCTGCCTCTTCCTGACCTCAGCCCTACCGCCCTATTGTAGTTCATCCTCAGGGGTCATCACTGGAATTCTTCTAGAACATTGTCAGTCTTTTTGACTCCAGTCAGAGATGTGAACATTCTGATTTTCTGAATGTAAAGAACATGACATATTACTATATAAGCTACATGTTTATTTTGTAATCAGAACCTTTTAAGTTGATAGCATAAATTGAACTTGCAATTATTTCTCAACAAATAACTAAAGTTTAGGATTTTTTTCCAGGGATGATTTGTATGGGATCCTAAAGAGTTTTTTTCTACTTGATAGGAAGGTTTCAGTTCATCTAATTCAGTTCACCAAATTTTATTTAAAACTAAATAAATTTTACCAAAAAGTTTTATTACAATATTTTGTGGAATATTATATTTAATAAAAAATAAATGATATTATTTATGAAAAGTTTCCATCTTCATAAGTGTGATATGATAGAAAGTGGAAAGTGATAGCGTATTCTTTCAAAATACTGATTAATTCTATTGAAGAAGGTGAACATTTAAATAATGAGGAAGGGCCTCAATACTTTGACATAAAAATATAAAGATTAATGAAACAGAAGAAATCACTAAATATTCACCCCACAATAAAGGTTTTCTACAGGATACAGAGTTGAAGAAAAAGATATCACACATGGAAATACAGGGCAGATTGACAATTTGAGAATGTTGATTAGAAAAAAGATGTGACTATTGGAATAAGTGCAGTTTTTATTCCAAGAGCTGAGTGAAAATCGAGGAATGACTAGTATTTTAAATTTCTAACTCCAAAGACTCTTCCTAGGACAGAACATGCAGACAGGTCAATAATTTACAGGACATATATAGTTAATAAAAATGTTTCTGGTCTCCTTTAAAGAAGTTCCAATAATCTGTCCTTCTGCATGTAGGAATTTCTTATTCTCATCCATAATAGATATAAGGCTGGTTAACGTTTCACTGGCGCACAATTGCAAAGCACTTTGCAAATATAAAATATGCTATAAGTGCCACAGAATCCATTACTTCATACTCAATCTTTAAGTAACAATTAATGAACAATGCAGTGCTATAGAAGAGCTTTACTAATGGCAATTTAACTTCTCCATAGCTTTGGAAAGTTTCAGAACATTACATAGTTGTTTAAAGTCAAGTTGAATTTTAATCCATACATTATTTATGCTATTTGGTTGGATTGGAGTAGACACGTATATAATATTTCACACACAAAATTATAAATGCATTATGTATAAAATCTTTCATTTCCTGTATGAGGTAATGATTATCATTCTAGGATTTATGTTCTTATTGATTCATGACAAAACATGAAGCAAACTTACCATGCTGAGCATTATGTATAATTTGCATAGATTTAGCCTTTTAGAAACTGGTACTGGAAAATGATCTTTTAGTTAATGAATCCTAATTTTTATTTATTTATTTATTGGTACCGGGGATTGAACTCAGGTCCTTATGCTTGCACCCTAATTTTTTTTTAAGGTCAAAGTTTGAAAAAATGATCAAAGGTCAGTGGAAAGTTTTCAAAGCTGAAGATTGCTATGGTGTGACCCAGGACTCTAACCCTCACACCAGGCAGTGGTCGGAGTTATGATTCTGTCCATTACTCACGTTTCACATTGGGTGGTCATATAATCTTAGCTTCAACAGATATGTCTGTTTTCAATGCTCCATGCTTTGGGTATACTCCTGTTCTCAAGAAAAATGCAGGAGAAAGGAGATACAACCTCAGAGACTTTATCAGTTCTCTGAACTGCCAACTATTTGCAGGCGGATGAGAGAAGGTAGATTTCAAGAATGAATCTCTTGAGGCCTGCTGTGATTTGAATGAACCAAACAGACTTCAAATTATGCAGCCCTCAACATTTACACCCAAAATCCATCCTCATCCAGTCTAAGAAAAAAGTTTAGTCAACTATCTTCCACTGCTTTTGATATTTTGGTTGTTAAATAGATTTTTAGACACTGCTAATGATGGTAATTTTCTTGGAATTTAGTTGGCTCTGTTGCTAAATTGAATCTCAATTTAGTAAATCTTCCATAATAGTTTTAGGCCACAATTCCACAACTCTCCAAAAGGAAAGAAGAAATGAAAGCATTCTGTTCAACAAAGCCTGGAATATTTCAGCAGCATCTGACCCAAGTGCTTGTGGAGTAATTTACTGGTTCATTCCATCATTTATTCATTCAAAAGACATTTATAAATTGCTACTTCATGCCAGCCATTGTGTAAGAAAGTAAATATAATGGAGATGCAGTGGGAAGTTCATGGTGGAGATTAGAAAATAAACAATTATCCTACAATTGGACAGCTGGTGAGAGGAGTTTGTGTATAATGAGAGGTCTCTAGCAACCTGATAGGTCGGGGAGATCAATACAAGTTACTCTGAATGAGTAAATTTCAGTTTCCATGCACAAGACAGAAAGGATATTCTCCATAGAAAGGGCTAGAAATGCCAAGATTCAGCCAGAAGACAAAATTATAGTGCACACAAAGCTTGTGTGTGGAATTTAGAAGATATATGAAAGTGTTGCAGAGAATATAGTCACAGAGAAAGGCAAAGATGAGATCATGAAGGCCCTTGGAAGTGATATTAATGAGACTGAACTTTATCATGACAATATTAAAGAGACACCAAAGAGTAATTGTTGAATGTATAAACGAATGAATACTCAAATGAGACAAGAACACGTTTAATGGATATCCAAATGGAAATTACAACCTTTGGTGTTCTTAATACTCTTATCTGTCAAATATACATACATATATATATATATATATATATATACACACACACACATATATGTTTATAAGTTCATGTGATCATTTATGTGTATAGATATTTGCAATTATCTGTATATATGTATAGGTATCAAGGGAATCACAGTTCCAATGGCATCCTGGACCCTAGAATAAGGCCAGACACATGGCAGATATTCAATAAAAACATGTTGATAGAAAGTATGAATGAACATGTTTTAAACTGTGGAGTGATGAGTAAGGAAGCTGTCTTTCAGGCAAGGGAATGAAAACAGTATGAAAAAGGAACACCTGGAGATGATGATTATAATATAGTGACTTGAAGAACTCATGACATGCTGATTTAGAAGACTGAGGACTGAAAGACTGGATAAGCTAAAAGACCTCAATTGAAGTTGGGCACGTCTGTAGTCCTAGCACTCTGGAAGGCTGAGGAAGGAGGGTCCCAGTGTGAAGCATACCCTGGCCAAATTAGGGACTCAGTCAGCCTCTGTCTCCAAACAAAAATTAAAAACAACAAGGCTGGGGATGTAGCTCAGTACAAAGATGATGAGTTCAATCCCTAGTACTGCAAAACATTAAAAAAAATTTTTTTATTGACAATGAGATTTGGAGTTAGGAAGTAATCAAAGAGTGTAGCTCTTCAATTTCTTGCTTGGTTTAATGAACGAAGGGCAGGATCTCTCTCCAAGAGGGAGTCTAAGAGGAGATATAGAAATGGAATGTGACAGCAGAATTTTATTTTAGACATAATGATTCTGGGTTCCCATTGAAATTTCCATGTTATGTCAAGAAGGCAGCTCTATATGTAATGTTGAATAGCCTGAATGTTAGGTGGTAAGTGAAATGTAAAGAGTAGATGCTTCTGCTTATGAAAGAACAGAACTTATCACAGCACCTGAGGTGAGCAGGACTTCACATTTTCTCTAATTTGGTTTTGGTAATGTACCCAAGCTCTCCATCCCTACCCTGACTGGGAATCTAGAGACTCTGACTGTGGCACTTACAGCGTGCCTTATCAAGATACTTCTTTTTCCTGATGGATAGTTTAAGGCCTAGGAATCCAATTCATGAACAGTTATCCCTTCCTCAAGAAACTTGTTTATACTGGTAGATGCCCTCATGGCTCTGGTCTGACCTGTGTCCATTTTTTTCTACCAAGATTGTCAGTGCAAGGACAGCCCTACCTGGGAAACAAGTGAGCTATCATGTTGGGCATGTGGGGTGACTCAACATAACACACTAAGTAACAAGCAGCTTGTTACTCCTAGATCCCCCAGAGAAGAGGACCGCACACTCTGCAGAGGCCCTTGCAAGGAAGGGGATGGAGAGAGAGAGAGAGAGAGAGAGAGAGAGAGAGAGAGAGAGAATGAGAATGAATAAGGTCAATAGCCTCTGTTGGGGTCCAAGCCTTTCTTTCTCAAGCAGGTTTTTACTGGGGCTCTCTATTGTGGATTTAGAGCAAGCAAATACTAATTTCATGGAAAATGTGACTAAGTGGTGTTTGCCATGC